TGGACTATCACTCACCGTTTTTGGGTCCCGAAGCGATATCCATGGTTGTCGAACCCCAAGGTGTGCTTACGTGTCGGTCATCAACACTCGCTCTCTGTTTTGGGTCCCCCGGGTGCGTTTACGTCTCGATCATCAACACTCATAGTTTTGGCCGATTCTGGCACATTTCATGGACTATTACTCACTGTTTTGGGGTCCCGGAGTGATTTTCGTGATTAACAAACCCCGGGGTGCGTTTACGTATCGGTCATCAACACTGACAGTTTTGACCGATTCTGTCTCATTTCATGGACTATTACTCATTGTTTTGGGGTCCCAGAGTGATTTCGACGATTAACGAACCCCGGGTGCGTATACATGTCGGTCATCAACACTCACAGTTTTCGCCAATTCTGGCCCGTTTCATGGACTATTACTCACTGTTTTGGGGTCATAGAGCAATTTCCACGATTGTCGATCCCCGGGGTGCGTTTACATGTCCGTTGTCAACACTCACAGTTTTCGCCAAGTCTGACCTGTTTCGTGGACTATTACTCACCGTTTTGGGGTCACGAAGCGATTTCCATAGTTGTTGAACCCCAAGATGCGCTTACGTGTCGGTCATCGATACTCATAGCTTTTGCCGATTTTGGCCCGTTTCGTGGACTATTACTCACAGTTTTAGGGTCCCGAAGTGATTTCCACAACTGACGAACCCCGGGGTGCGTTTACGTGTCGGTCATCAACACTCGCGGTTTTTGTCGATTCTGACGTGTTTTGTGGACTATTACTCACCGTTTTTGGGTCCCAAAGCGATTTCCATGGTTGTCGAACCCCAAGGCATGCTTACATGTCCGTCATCAACACTCATTGTTTTGGGCCGATTTTGAACCGTTTCATGGACTATTACTCTCCGTTTTTGGGTCCCAATGTGATTTTCATGGTTGTCGAACCCCAAGATGTGCTTACGTGTCGGTCATCAACAATCGCAGTTTGGGCCGATTCTGACCCGTTTCTTGGACTATTACTCATTTTTGGGTCCCGGGGTGATTTCCACGATTGACGAACCCCGAGGTGCCTTTATGTGTTGGTCATGAACACTCACAATTTTGACCGATTCTGGACCGTTTCGAGCACTATTACTCATCGTTTTGGGGTGCCAAAGCGATTTCCATGATTGACCATCCCCAGGGTGCGTTTACGTGTCCGTCGTCAGCACTCACAGTTTTGGCCAATTCTAACTCATTTCATGGACTATTACCTTTTAAAAATTATAGCAAGTAGTGAGAAAAATTGCACAAAAAATACATTTTTTGTCATATGCAAGAACATGCATATAATAATGAAGATTTTCAAAAATAAGTTTCATAATAAGGAACGAATTAGAGTGGCATTGATATCTATATCTATAGCTACTATTAAAGGTAATAGATATTCTTGGTTTGGTAGTCCTTTTCATTTTATTTGAGTGCACGCTAATGTTTTTCGTACGATTTGCTCTACACACACTAAGCCATCTGGGCCAGGTACGTATACATTGATGGGCCTTCTATGGGCTTCCATAGAGACTGCAAAAAATAATTGGGTCAAAATAAATCAACTTTGTGGAAATTGAACAGAGGACCTACTGACCGGCTCTTCAGCGTAACAACCAACGAGCAATGCATCTTTCACGTTTACTAATCCCAACTCGCTCTTTTACAATGATTCCGATCAGTAAATATTTGAGCGGCCCCAGGAATCAACCAACAGATGGTTAATACAAAGAAGAGCAGACCTCATGTTTAGGGAAAGCTAATTAAAGAAAGGATTGTGGGCTTAAGTAGAATATTTAAACGGATGTGACTAATTAAAGAAAGGATTATGGGTAAACCGGTGGAATAACTAAAAGAAAAATTGTGGGCTTAATAAATAGAATATATTCAAATCGATGGGGCTACTTAAAAGAAGGATTTAAGATAAAAAGTTAGAATAATTAAAAGGATGGATCCGATGTGGTGGGGCTACTAAAACAGAAAAGGAAAGATTTGCCTTTGAAAAAATGAAGGATTTGATTCTCGACAAACGGGTGAGGACATCATGGTAATTAATAGAACGATTATATTTAAATGGAATTAGTGGGAGATTATACCCGGCAGACAAAATATGAACGTGGCAAATTGCATCCTATTTTTTATGTTCATTTCGTAGATGGATATTGCGTTGCAACATGTTCTTCATAGTGAATCCGGTGCTATGGGACATTTTGTTTGCACAAAACATTAAATTTCTCGTTGCAACGCACGGGCATATGTGCTAGTTATACTTAAACAAGAGAAAAATAAAATAAAATAATGAAATTGTCTAAGAACGAATGAATTAGTGGCATTATTATTACCCATTGGAAATAAAGAAAATAGAAAATGACAAAAATTGCACATAATTTACATACAAATTATGCTTTTTCATAATATGCACAAATAAACAAATAATAGTGGAATTTTCGCAAAAAAAGTTCCCTAAGAAGGAATAAGTTAGTGGCATTTATATTTGATCTTACACATAATTTACATCGAAATTATGCATTTTCATAATATGCAAGAATAAACATATAATGGTGGAATTTTCGCAAAAAAAGTTCCGTGAGAAGGAATCGGTTAGTGGAATTTATATTTGATCTCAAAGAAAGAAAGAAAAATGAAAATATTTATACATAATTTACATCGAAATTATGCTTTTTCAAAAATGCAAGAATAAACATATAATAGTGGAATTTTCACAAAAAAAAGTTCCCTAAGAAGGAATCAGTTAGTGGAATTGATATTTGATCGTAAAGAAAGAAAGAAAAATGAAAATATTGACACATAATTTACATAGAAATTACGCTTTTTCTTAATATAGAAGAATAAATGTATAATAGTGGAATTTTCCCAAAAAAAAGTTCCGTGAGAAGGAATCAGTTAGTGCAATTGATATTTGATCTTAAAGAAAGAAAGAAAAATGAAAATATTGACACATAATTTACATAGAAATTGTGCTTTTTCATAATATAGAGGAATAAACGTATAATAGTGGAATTTTCCCAAAAAAAAAGTTTCATGAGAAGGAATCAGTTAGTGGAATTGATATTTAACCTTAAAAAAAGAAAGAAAATGAAATAAAATTAAACAAATTCAAACTAATATTTTTTGTAAGGATAATGAATTAGCGGCACTGGCATTACTCTTTAAGAAGAAATAAAATAAAATCAATTAAATTAAACAGTGACAAAATGTATATAAAAATTGTGTTCTTTTCTCATATGCAAGAACAAGCATAAGGGTGGAATTTCTCAAAAAGAAGTTTCATAATAAGGAATGAGTTAGAGTGGCATTGATATCACCCTTAAAGAAGAAAGAAGATGAAATAAAAAAACAAAAAAATATAAATGAAATTTTCTAAGAACAAACGAATTAGTGAGATTACTATTACCCTTGGGAAAAAGAATATAAAAAGATGACAAATTGAACATATTTTTTACAGAAATTATGTTTTTTTTAATATGCAAGAATAAACATATAATGAGTACTCACATGTAATAGAGGAATTTCGCAAAAGAATGTTTCTTAGGAAGGAATGAATTAATAACATTGTAGTTACCATTTAAGAAGAAAAAGGTGAAACAAATAATGACAAAATTTGCATAAAATTTACACAGAAATTGTGCTTTTCATAATATGCAAAAATAAACATTTAATTGTACATCCTCAGAAGGAATAAATTGGCATTCATACTTAATCTTAAAGAAGAAGAAAAATGAAATAAAATGGAACAAAATCCGAATAATAATCTGTTCTAATAAAGTTAGCAAATAGTGTCAAATTTTACACAAAAATTGCTTTTTTTATCATACGCAAGAACAAGCATATAATAGTGGAATTTTCGCAATAAGAAGTTTCATAAGAGGAAATGAATTATACAATAGTGAAATTTCACAAAAGGAAGTTTCCTAAGAAGGAATACATTGATAGCATTGGTATTGTCCTTAAATAAAAATAAAATAAAATAAACACTTAATCAAAATCAAAATAATGAAGTTTTCTATGTAATAATAAATTAGTGGCAACGAAATTACCCTTCAGAAAGGAAAACAAACTTCAAAAACTTGCACAGAACTTTGCATTGAAACTGCATCACAAAAGTGTAAGTTTGTATCCCCGCAAAGAAAAATGTAAGTTTGTATGGATGTATGTTGTTTCTTTTGATGCTTCCGTTGTTGATCACAAAAGTGTAAAGTTTTTATCTAAATAAAAATAATAAAATCAACAAGCATTGCCAACTATTAGTAGTATTGTCAGAATCACTTCCTTAATTTGCCCTAGTGTGCTAATCACTAGCTATAGCTAATACTAGTCCACCAGCTGAGCTGGGCAAAGATACACTACATACTTGAGATACAACAACACAGGTCTATGCACCATCATTTCATTGCCTAACAACAACACAAGGCAAGTATTTCAGACTGATGCAGTATGAACTAACTAGGCAGTGAAGCACAACTTGAAGCCACTTAATTTACAACAGAAGCAGCACCATCAACATCACTCCCTATGTACAACGAGTCGATGGCGCCTACTTTACACAAAACAAACAAATTAAGCCGGTCCCTGTCTTTTGCAACAAGACCGAAGGTCAAGGAAGATGCATCGTGAGACCAGTCGGTCAGTCAGTCCCAGCCCATGAGCATGTTGGTGACGCCGTCGACGATCTTGCTCCGCACCGAGCACGAGAGCTCCTGGTCGTCCTCACCTAGGTGCACCCTGTACACCTCCCACTCCCTGTCGTCCACCACGTGCCTCCCGATCTCGGCCTGCAAACCATTCATCAAAGAAATGTTTGGTTATGTTAATGGACAACCGATAAGAGCGACGTGTGTAGTTGTCAGATAGGAATGAACATGGTTTACCAAGAAGACTCGTCTATGGAGGTTCTTGAGCGCGAGCGTGATGTCGTAGAACACCAGGGGTCTGCCCTTCCCGGACACCTCCACCGGGTTCGCCACCAGGAGCTCCGCATCGGGGCCCCGGTTCACCAGCGCCACGCGGAGTGGCCGCAGGAGCTCCGTCCTCAGGCGGGAGCACATGCTTCTCTGTTTCTGCTGGTCGAGGATCTTCTTCCCGTCAGACTGCACCGCGAACAGGTCCACCTCACACCGGCCCTTCTGTCCCGCGTAGAACCGACCATACGAAATCTGACAGCAAACTAGTCAGAATACATCTCCCAAAGAAATAAGACAAAAATGTGCTTCTATATACTGTTACTGTTATTACCTGGATATTGCAGTCCTTGACTGTTCTCATGATGTCGTACAGGAGGCCTTTGTGGTCGCCGCACTGGATCTGAATCAGGGTGTGCACAGGGCTGAGGGAGTTGTCCATTGTGACCGACAGTCTACTGTCGGACCTCGAGCGGCTCGACTGCTCCTCAATGACATCTACCTCGCTGAACATCTGCTCCAGGACAAGAGGCGACAGCAACGCTGAAGCTTGGAGGCAAGAAGACATGTCCTCTGTCGCGGATTCTATTTCACAACTCGTCACGGAGTCGCCTAAGACGCTCTGCAGCTTTTCATAGGCCTCTTCCCTCCTGCTCTTTGTGTGTAGAAGTTCCCTGAAATCATTGCACGAGGTATCCGTTCATTTACCGTCAGAAAGACAAAGGTATGAAATACTGAAGATAAAACCAAAAGGAATCCTGTGCTTCAAATGATGGACCTTGCTGAACATAAAGTACACAACTGAAGATAGCTTGATAAACTAAAAAAATGTGAGTTAACAACTTCATACTGCTCAGGCAAGTAATTGACGAGTTATAGAGAATCATATACTCTCATCGTAATATCGCAAGGAAAATTATGCATATCCTCAGACAATACCATATCACTTCAGAACAGAGAGCATTGTTTAACCAGCAGTAAAAAAAAGTTTGGAACAAATACTTTTTTATATGGGATTGACACATAGAAGAACCTATATGAGGCACCGAAAAAGATGTATGAGGAGATAAGAAATGGACCTAGCATCGGTGATGAAGAAAAGGTCCATGACTCTGCCGTCGGGCGTGGTGGAGACCTTGACCCTCCTAATCGTGAGCTCCATCTCGCACAGCACGCATGTCACGTCTGCAAAACACATAATTCCCAGCAGGCAGGTCTGGATTAGACATTTCTTTTTAACACATTCTGAATCCTGTCATGCTCTTTCACTAGGAAAAACATTTCTCAAACATGCCCATCAAGACCTCCAAGTGAGGACTACACATCCTAAGCTAATACTACAATTTTCTTGGCAGGAATTGAGGTGCCAAACAATACTAGTGCGAAATGAAGTTGACCCACAAGAATACACATCGATTATATCATGGTAGATAAACATGTGAATTCCTCCGGTTGCGTCTGTGAGCGGTCTACCAGGAGACTAATGAATGATAGTCCCACAAGAAACCATAGAAGAAAGTCAGTCAATAGTCAATGTAATCCGGAGGGCTCGGATGTCCGATCAGGCGAGTCATAGGGGGGAAACACATGTATGTTTTCTTCAGTCAGTCAGTCAGTCAGTCAGTAATATCATACACTAGTCACTAGTGCCAAACAAAATAGTAATTTCCTGTAAAACGGCATCTGACATAGACAGCATCGATCAAGCAGTACCTAGAAAGAAGCTGCGGAGAAATTGAATTAACCAATTAGGCGGTTCGTTGGCAAGCATACCCTAGTAAAAATCTGAAGCGGAAGGCAGGTGAACTGAAGAAATTTATCTAGCAAAGTAGACAGTAGTAGTTACCGTGGAGGAGGCCCATCCGGTCGTAGCAGCAGAACTTGAGCAGGAACACCCGGGGCTCCCCGGCGGCAAGCGCGAGGCCGTCTCCCCGGAGGCCGGCGGCGGCGAGGTAGGCGGCGTCGACGCCGAAGGGCGCTGGGACGGGGCAGAGCTCGACGAGGCGCTCCTTGAGGAGGTCCCATGCGACGGGGGGCCGGCCCCGGCGCGAGGCGGCGACCCAGAGCACGATGTAGCACCAGCGGCCGTCGGTGCTCATGTCGCCCTTGTGGACGTTGAGGCCGAAGAGGAGGACGAGGCGGCAGAGGTCGCAGCCCAGGCCGGTCTTGTCCGGGCAGCTCACCGTGACCACCGTCGGGTCCCCCGCGCCGTCCCCGTGCACGATTTGGACCACCTCGTCGCTCGGGCTCGGGATCCCCATCCCTCTCTCCCTCTCTCTCTCTCTCTCTGTTGGCGAGAGATGGAATCGAAAATCAAAATCAAATCTTTGGGTTGGGCTGGTTCGGTTGGTTGCTCCGTCCGTCCCGCTACTCCCCACTAGTGGTATGAGTAGCAGGGCGGATATGGACTAGTCGGGGTGTGTTGGCGGTGGCCGGCCGGAGGCGGAGGCGGAGGGGAAGGGGAAGGGGACGAGGAATCTTGGGGACTGGATTCCTCCAACGCTCTCGGCATAATAATCTGAGTGAGGATGCCAAAGATACGGCCGGGAGGGAGGGTATTATCCTTGTTGTATGTACGTATAAACAAAACGAACCGTACGTGTACGTGTATGGTGCAACCAAAGAGGTCACGTGTATAAAACCAGCATCCTCCAACACACCATTGGACTATGCTACGTGCCTTTCCATTTTTCTTTCTTTAGGATGGAAAAATCTTTGATCTATTCATCATTTTTCCATACCGGCAGTATATATGAGGAACACTGCAAATAACAAAAATTACAATCAGGTCCGTGGACCAAATCGAAGGCGCGCCTCTGTCATGACTTCTTCCTCACCTGATCCGGATAAATCTTATCGTAGTAGATAGTTAGGGAGTCGTCGTTGTAAGGTCTCACAGCAACACCAACGCACCGAGAGCAACAACCGCGCCGATCAAAAGAAGCGTAGATCAGATGGATATAAGTTGTAGACACACGACTGTAGACGAACAGAGACTAGGTCCAAAAAGAAACGCCAATTGAGTCCCGCTACATCAGTCGGAGACACACATCCACACATCCCCCGACGACACTGGACACACTGCACGAACAAGGGCTAGACGGTGAGAACCCAGCCTCGTTGCTCAAACACAAACCCTAACAAAATAGAAAAAGACACCTAAAAGCGGAGCAGGAGCCCTCCAAACACCCTAAGGACCTCGCGGCGACGCCAACAAGAGGCAAGGAAGCCGTAATTGCCCTAGAGTCACCAGAGCACATCAAATTAATCATGTTACTAAAACGTCTGACACTTGTAACAAGTATGACCAAAACAAATCAAATCAAATATGACTAAAACCTCAACCAAATCAAAAAAAAATCATGTGTTTCCCTACTCATACTCAAATCAAAGCAAATGTTATGAAAGCATAAAAAAATCTAAAATTCTATACCTCCTCCCCCACCCCGCGCGCGCGGTTGCCATGTAAAGTTTTTTTTTTGACACAATACAATCGAAGTCACTCGCATACACGAGCATAGACTCATCCTTATGAACGCACGCACGCACGCACACCCTACCACTATGAGCACCTGCGAGAGATTGAGCCGGCATAGCATTTCCTGATTTTACGAAGTCATCACAGGCGTCTCGCAGTCGACGGGAACGTCTCGCATACTGATAATTAGCTACTATATATAATGAGGACAATAAATCTTTGCAACATAACTTTTGTTGAAAATTTTGTGTTTGGGATTAAAAAGAAAGAAAAAGGAAAGAAAAAAGTGTGTGTCCAGCATCCCATCCTAGGAGGGGAATCAGAGCACCAGTACTAGATTGAAGATTCAAACTTGAATGAGAGCCACATCGAGGGAAGAATAGTCTTTCCTCATGCATGTGGCATGGACAATACTTTCCACAAGTGAGAGTGACATGTGGTGCAATATGTACCGTGTATATGTTGCAAAAGCGGCGATGGGGACTGAAGACTGTAGCTCGGCTTTGTCCCCGGTAAGTAAGCAAACACGTGCCACAACACAACAAGTCAAGCACAAAAGTGAAGAGAGAGGTTGAAAAATCAGGCAAACCCAAAGATCCACATCGCTGTCTTCCTTGATCTCCCCTTCTGCTTTTTATGGTGGTGGTGGCATTTCTTAAATTTACCACTTGTAGTTGTGAGAGTACCACGTAGTACAAGAAATCCATCCACCCACACATCCGGCCGTTTGGTACAAACAATTGAACCGTTCATTTGGTACCCATCCATCTCCATGTCCCTATCGGTCGGGTTGGCATGATATGCAGTAACGCACCGTGCAGTACAATACGTCTGCTGTTGTGTGGACCAGATACTGTATGTCATCGGCATCACAACACCGTACAATATTATAGAAGATCTCAACGGCCGTCCCTCTCACGGACACACCACATGTCGCCGGCGGCTCCATCGGTGGATTGCTCCAAGGGTGTGGGTGTAGGTGTGACGATCAAATCTCAAATACAGACGCATGTCCTGCTACTCCCTCATCTTTATATGTTACATTTTGTCACCCATTTCATCATCATGTTTTATTTAGCTTATTCTTTTTACTACTCTCTCCGTTTCATAATATAGGATCGTTTCTCGAGCTATGTTACCTTGAGAAACGATCTTATATTCTGGGACGGAGGAAGTACCATCAATGAGTTGCATACATAATATAGACAAACCAGCAGCTCAGCCAAGCGAGGTTTTATTTATTTGTCCCGGGGCAGTAGCCAGTTTTTGTTCTATCTACAATTAACCATGGAGGAACCATTCTTTGTCTTTTCAGTGCAAGGATGAAGGACACAAACAATACAATTGTTGTTTTCTCATTGCAAGGATCCAAAGGGTATATTCTTATAGACAAATTAAAGAGCAGAGAAGCAAATTCAAAGCCGCCGCCATATTTCATCCTGAAGGAAATATGCCCTAGAGGCAATAATAAAGTTATTATTTATTTCCTCATATCATGATAAATGTTTATTATTCATGCTAGAATTGTATTAACCGGAAACATGATACATGTGTGAATACATTGACAAACATATAGTCACTAGTATGCCTCTACTTGACTAGCTCATTAATCAACGATGGTTGTGTTTCCTAACCATAGACATGTGTTGTCATTTGATTAATGGGATCACATCATTAGGAGAATGATGTGATTGACATGACCCATTCCGTTAGCCTAGCAATTGATCGTTTAGTATATTGCTATTGCTTTCTTCATGACTTATACATGTTCCTGTAACTATGAGAATTATGCAACTCCCGTTTACCAGAGGAACACTTTGGGTACTACCAAACGTCACAATGTAACTGGGTGATTATAAAGGAGTACTACAGGTGTCTCCGAAGGTACATGTTGAGTTGGCGTATTTCGAGATTAGGTTTTGTCACTCCGATTGTCGGAGAGGTATCTCTGGGCCCTTTTGGTAATGCACATCATTATAAGCCTTGCAAGCAATGTGACCAAATGAGTTGGTTACGGGATGATGCATTACGGAACGAGTAAAGAGACTTGCCGGTAACGATATTGAACTAGGTATTGGATACCGACGATCAAATCTCGGGCAAGTAACATACCGATGACAAAGGGAACAACGTATGTTGTTATGCGGTTTGACCGATAAAGATCTTCGTAGAATATGTAGGAACCAATATGGGCATCCAGGTTCCGCTATTGGTTATTGACCGAGAATAATTCTAGGTCATGTCTACATAGTTCTCGAACCCGTAGGGTCCGCACGCTTAACGTTACGATGACAGTTTTATTATGAGTTTATAAGTTTTGATGTACCGAAGTTTGTTCGGAGTCCCGGATGTGATCACGGATGTAATTATGAGTTTATAAGTTTTGATGTACCGAAGTTTGTTCGGAGTCCCGGATGTGATCACGGATGTAACGAGGAGTCTCGAAATGGTCGAGACATAAAGATCTATATATTGGAAGCCTATATTTGGACATCGGAATCGTTCCGGGTGAAATCGGCATTTTACCGGAGCACCAGGAGGTTACCGGAAACCCCCCGGGGGGTTATTGGGCCTACATGGGCCTCGAGGGAGAAGAGGGAAGGAGGCGGGAGGGGGCCGCGCGCCCCTCCCCTTCCTAGTCCGAATAGGACAAGGGAAGGGGGGCGGCGCCCCCCCTTTCCTTCCCCTCTTCCTCCTCTTTCCCCCCTTCTCCTATTCCAACTAGGAAAGAAGGGAGTCCTACTCCCGGTGAGAGTAGGACTCCCCCCTTGGCGCGCCCTCCTTGGCCGGCCGCCTCCTCCCCCCTGGCTCCTTTATATACGGGGGCAGGGGGGCACCCCACAGATACACAAGTTGATCTACGGATCGTTCTTTAGCCGTGTGCGGTGCCCCCCTCCACCATATTCCACCTCGGTCATATCGTCGCGGAGTTTAGGCGAAGCCCTGCGCCGGTAGAGCATCATCATCGTCACCACGCCGTCGTGCTGACGGAACTCATCCCCGAAGCTTTGCTGGATCGGAGCCCGGGGATCGTCATCGAGCTGAACGTGTGCTGAACTCGGAGGTGCCGTACGTTCGGTGCTTAGATCGGTCAGATCGTGAAGACGTACGACTACATCAACCGCGTTGTGCTAACGCTTCCGCTTACGGTCTACGAGGGTATGTGGACAACACTCTCCCCTCTCGTTGCTATGCCATCACCATGATCTTGCGTGTACGTAGGAAATTTTTTGAAATTACTACGTTCCCCAAGAGTGGCATCCGAGCCTAGGTTTTATGCGTTGATGTTATATGCACGAGTAGAACACAAGTGAGTTGTGGGCGATACAAGTCATACTTCTTACCAGCATGTCATACTTTGGTTCGGCGGTATTGTGAGATGAAGCTGCCCGGACCGACATTACGCGTACGCTTACGCGAGACTGGTTTCACCGTTATGAGCACTCGTGCTTAAAGGTGGCTGGCGGGTGTCTGTCTCTCTCACTTTAGCTGAATCGAGTGTGGCTACGCCCGGTCCTTGCGAAGGTTAAAACAGCACCAACTTGACGAACTATCGTTGTGGTTTTTATGCGTAGGTAAGAACGGTTCTTGCTAAAGCCCGTAGCAGCCACATAAAATTTGCAACAACAAAGTAGAAGACGTCTAACTTGTTTTTGCAGGGCATGTTGTGATGTGATATGGTCAAGACGTGATGCTATATTTTATTGTATGAGATGATCATGTTTTGTAACCGAAGTTATCGGCAACTGGCAGGAGCCATATGGTTGTCGCTTTATTGTATGA